CCAAATTTAAAGGTTTTCCTTTCTGTTGTTTATTTTTGTCACCTGTGGGATGGGAACCCTTAATAAAGTTTTTGATTTTCCAGAATTCAGCTGTGATTAGATGCCTGTGACTATCAATCAAACTCTCTTTCTCATAGGACATTATAAAATATTTGTGTAAAATATTTATTTGATGATGAGACTTTGGTTTACTTACAGATTTGGCATGGATTTTAATAAATTGAGTTGGTATGGCATGGTTGTTTTATATGGAATGCCAGATTCAAATACAAATCGATTTGACTATACGACTATAAGAGCTAAACCTACTTTAGCAAACTCCAAGGTCGTTCATTGGAATTTCTCGAAATTTTGTCCACATTTTAAATTTCAAAATAACGTTGTGCATGTTGTAAGAACCATGATCTGAGGTTGCGAGCACAGTTTCCACAAAGTGCACTGTAGTTGTCCAGAGATATTTTAAAAATTGTACTAATATCTCCAAAGCCCCTAACCCCCGAAATCATAAAATCATTTTCACCATTTTTGGGACAAGCCAAGTTGAACCCTTTTAAACATGTCAGCCATTTTTGGAGTGGTGTGCTGTACATTTACGCGTTGTTGTTCTACAAATATTCATTAATAAAAGAAGAAATAGGTGACCAATTTCCAGACAAAGTAGCTGATTGCATTTCAGTTTTGCCCCACAGGTGACAAATATGTAACTTGCTTGTGGTCTGAAACCCATTATCACTCACTTCAATATGTATAGTGTTTGCAGGCTTTGTGAAGAGTTTAGATAAAGATTCTGCCCTAGATTTGCTTTTAATCGTATGCACATCCATTAGTATCTACTGCAGCCTTTTCACATGACCACCACTTCCACAACACCAGCGTGACCTTGGTCTATTGGAGTCTTGAGTCTGTGTGAAGTGCCAGATCACGTGACCAACACAACTTCCTCAACATGAGCATGAAAACCCAAAATGGCTATTTGCTCTAATTTCGTTTTGAGATCTTTGTATAGATCGGTTAGATGTATATATTACTGTTAGGCTCACGCTGGTGTTCTGAGAGTGGTGCAGCTGCAGCTTTTACAGGAAGATGCTTAAAGTACATGTGAATGTCACATGATTTCACAATAACCACCCTGCTGGTTGACCTGATTATAAATGAACTCTATGATGACTTATCTCACCCTCCTTTATCAAATTGAATTTAGCAATAAAATTTTCAAACCACAGATTGTCTACAAAAACCAAACAGCAGAAAGGAAAAGTGGTTTAGTTGTGTTTAAAGCAATGAAGTATGATTAGGAAAACCATGACGGGAATGATCTGTCCCTTACAGTTCTGCTATGAAAGGACTGGTGATTTATTATGTGATAGGAGAAATTCTGGCATCAATAGCAAAGTCAGGCACAAAGATCCAAATCATCAGTTAAATAAGTTTTTTTTTTCTTCACAGCTCACCCAAAAATGTAAATTATCACATAAATTACTCACCATTATGATATATCTTTCAGAATCCAATTAAAGGTATTTCAGTTTGCATATGAAAGCTCAAAATGGAGGAAACACGGAAAAGAGTCCTGTGCATAAATCATTGTCTGTATAAAACATGGACGAAGTGAATTGGAGTGAATGAGAACCTGCTCACTTCTGGAGTCAGCCTCAAGGGGCCGGTCAAGGAACTGCAGTTCAGTCACTTTGGGCCAAGTTCAAGATGACTTCTCTCTCTTACACATTACTTTTCACAATAAAAGTCCAGCGATTGAGTTTACACTTTTGAAGCCATGAATAAACAATGAGATGGTTCTGTACTGAAGAAAATAGAAAAATATATTACAACAAAATGCTAAATTATAGAAAACAAACTAAGAATAAAAATAGTTTACATAAAATAATTCAATCTAAATCTTGTACACCAACTTAATAAATAAAAAATAAATAACAAATAAATACACAACTTTATGAACGAAAAACAACCAAACACTATTTAATGTAGTTTTTTTTTCTTTTAAACTGAATCAAAGATGCAATGTTGACATATGTAATTATTTCTTTTATGCCATTCTGGTATAAATACAATTGATAGTTTCATTAATGGATACCTTAAATATCTAAGTTTAAATCTCTTCAATTGTGTTCTGAGGGGAAAGGACAGGCTTAAATGCAGGGTGGGTGATTTTTCATAAAGACTTTAGAAATTAAAGTCAACCTGACTCCCAAAATGGGGATAGGCTCTTTTGGTTGCTTGTTTCGATAAATCATAACAAAACATCACATATGCAGCCTTTAAGAGTGTATTAGACAGAATAACGGTGACTAAATAATGACAGATTATTAATTTATGTGTAAGCTTTCAGTCAGGATGAGAGTGAGTTGTTGTTTAGAAGCCCCCCCCCCCCCACCCTTCTCTCAGCTGGTCACTGCTTTTGAGAGTTATTCCGGGGTGTTCACGATAGAGTTGGGTGTTGAATTCAGCACCGGGTTCATTGGGGGAATGGCCTTGTGACTGAAATACTCCACTACCTGTTTCGGCACCTCTGCTAGGACACACTTGGCTAAAGCAGCTGGAGAGGCCTGCAAAAATATTTAGGAAAAATTTAATCATACTGTTTTTTTAAAGCACTAACAGTAATCAAGGCTGTACATCAATTTCTGACCATTGTGTAGTTTAGAGAACGCAAACAATCAGCTTTAGAAATCCAGGATTACTTATATATAAATGAAATATGTTCTAATTTGCCAACCAGTCGCAGTGCAGCTTGCAATAAGTCTAAAGTGCCTGCCAAAAAGGTTAAAACATCTCTAAATTACATTATCTACATTCTAAACTAAAATGTATGTTAAAAGAGAGAGAGAAACTGACCGTTTTAAAGTCCCTGAATGGAACAAACTGAACAATGTCCCTAAGGACAGGCTCTCCCTTGGGCGAGCGCAGGACACCATCATCTCCATCCAGAATCTGCATGTCTGTGAAGTCTGCGTTCCCCACTCCCACGATGATAATGGACATGGGTTGATATGAAGCACGAACGATGGCCTCGCGTGTGTCGGCCATGTCTGTCACCACCCCGTCTGTCAGGATCAGCAGGATGTGATACAGCTGCCACGGGAAATTAGGTGATTAAAAGGATTTTTCTGTACAGTACGCCATTAGAAGTAAATATTATGACCCTTAAAAATTATCTAGTTGATAGCAACTGTTTACAGGTGTAACTCCCAAAGCATGTGATAAACACTGATTATTTTTGGTCTTTGTGAGGTCAATAGGTATATGATCACCCTGTGATTTTGCAAGTTCTCCCTTCTTAGAAATAATGGAGGGGTTTAGAATTTTCAGCATAGGTGCATTTCCACCCAGAGGGAAACTTAAAAGGAAACTTAAAAGGAAACGATCACAATTTATTTGTAAATTACTGTCAAATCTCTCCTTGTGGCGTATTAATGATGCTAAGAATGGCGAAAAATTACAAGAATGGTGATGATCCAGGAAGAAAATCCTGTGGTCAGATGAGACCAAAGTTTAACTTTTTGGTTTTTTACTACATTCGGCATGTTTAGAGGAAGAAGATTGTGAAGCATGGGTTTGGAAGCCTCATGCTCTGAGGGAGTTTTTCTGCACAGGGGACATGATGATTGAATTGTATTAGAGAGAGGATTAACAGGTTCATTTATTGTGAGATATTGGACAAAAAACTTCCTCAGAAAGGGCATTAAAGACGGGTCGTGGCTGGGTCTTCTAACATGACAATGACCCAAAGCACACCGACAGGAAAACCAAGGAGTGGCTCCATAAGAAGCATATGAAGGTTCAGGAGTAGAAGGTTCTGATCTAGAGAAGATCTGTATGAAGGAGTGGGAGAAAAGCCGTATGTGCAAACCTGGTGAAGAACTGCAGGAACTGTTTGACCTCCACTGTTTACGAAGACTTCAAATATTAAAACGTTTGTACTCAAGTGATCAAACACTGATACATTTTTATATTGCTTTACTTCAATCTGAAAATGTAGACAATCCAGAAACAGCACTTGTAAGAGCTGTTCCTTTAAATGTCTCAACAGCATAGAACAGAATGTTAGATCCCATCTGAAAAGGCTAAAATTAGCTATATTTACTGGCCTGAAGATCCCAGCTGTCCGCCAACATGCACCCCTACCGTTTGAGCCAATGTCCTGCTTTCTGAGCATTGATCTCACAGAGCTCATTTACTGAAAAATGATCACTTTGAGAGAGGGGGTTGTGGTGTGGGTGTATGTGTGCATGTGTGTGAGAGGGGGGTAATATTAAATAATAAATGAAGACCATCACAAGGGCATAGATGAGATGCTGAATGAATCAGAGCAAGCATACAGAAGACATTTTTGAGCGTGACAACAATTGCTTGGCTTTACCACTGTGACATCACAGAACATTAATTAATTGTTGTTTCAATTATCAAAACAGCTATCAAGGCAATCAGATAAAATTAGCAAAATATGATTTTAAAAAGTGTAATCAAAAGGGTTGCGAGTGATCCACACATTTATTCCATGATTTCAGAGAATTGCACTTCAATGACAAGTTTTTCAAAAAGGGAGCTGGGATGGGAACCATACATAAATCAATGATCTAGTAGCTGATCTGCAAACAAAATAAAAGAGAATTTTGTGGAAAAGCAGTCTGTTTAATGAATGTTTAAGTTTGAAACTTAAGTATTTTTTCTTGCAAAAACACTTTTTAATTTAACATTTATAACCTTCAAGTGTTTTGAAAACAAACTCTTTGTCTCATGGAGCAGAAAGAGAATTAAGCACTAGAATGCCGAAGTGCAGAGAACCCCACGAATTCCAGGAGTTCGCAGGAGCAGAGAAAGCACCTTTGAATAAAAAAGGGACTAGGAACATATAGGGAACTTAAATAATACACAAGACAATCAAACTTATACATTTATGCATTTGACAGATGCTTTTATTCAAAACGACTTACATTACATATTACATTAAAAGTGAGGTCCCCAGTCCAAAATCCAATTTGTGTTTTCCCTGGGATTCAAACCCACGATCTTTGTGTTGCTAGCACAATGCTCTACTGATGAAGCCACAGAAAAGCAGGACATGATTGTGAACAGGTGGAGGACTCGGCCACATAGGACACGGAGAACACAGGGTTGTGACACTCTTCATATATTGAACAATGCTAATCATTTCACCTTCTCTTATAGTAAACAAGCAGCTAGGGTAAACATGTTCAATATGTACCAATTGCATAGTTACTGAGTAGAACACAGTGTTCTATGTAAAAAGAGAAAAAACAGAAGCTCCTCACCGAAGCATCTTTGACCGGTTCTTTCCCAGCTGCCTGTTTGGCTATTCTGTTGATGATAGGAGCCACATTGGTGGGGCCGTAGAGCTGGATCTTGGGCAAACAGCTTTGGTATGCTTCCACCACCCCCTGGATCTCTGGTCAGAGAAATAGAGAATGAGAAAGGAGATCACTTCTGTTTGTTTGCAATTCTCTGTCCGTCTCAATGGGTTTGTGTGAAATTGGCAGCAAAAGCAACAGATTTTGGGCTCAAACCACTTGATGGGCTTGGAGCTCTTCAGAATAAATGTCATAGGAATGAAGCCAGCTTTGTTTCTGTGGTCAAACACAATTAAAGCAATTAAAGCTGTGTTTAACCCAAAAAATTAAGGTATTGTCATTATATGTCATCCTTAATTAATCGTTGGAAACATGAGAAAAGATACAGTACAGAGTAAAGAGTTACGAAATGTTCGAGATATGAAAGGTTTCGTGGGAAATATTTTGCTTTGAGATATGAAAAAAATTCCAAGATATGAAAACAAAAGTTAGAGTCAAGGTGTCACACGGTTTGTAACGTGGAAACCGTGTGACACATTCTCAGAAGCTCTCTCTCCACCGTTTCTCACACGCTGGGTACTACTGTCTGCGCTTGGGCTTGAAACAGTGTTGGTTTTCGTAATTCGTGAAATATCTTCAGAAAGTTAACTTTCATACGTAGTGCTGTAATATTTTCTGCCATCCGTTCCACCTCCTCAGTCACATCGCCTCATTCGCAAGGTAAGGTTTCACATTTGTGTAAATATTACATATTTTGCATGTGTGAAGAAACGTTATATGATTTTTCTATGGTTTTTCATTTTTTTCTCAACTTATACTGTTGTTTCTGAGAGCCATGGCACGGATTAGGTGTTTTACATGTAAATCTGTTTTGAGATTCGAAATGTCTGAGATACGAAAGCCACCCTGGAACGGATTAATTTTGCATCTCGAGGTATCACTGTATTTCAATACAATAATGGTAAATATTGATCCCTTGATAATTGAGAACCCTAAATCAACTATTAAGATAAATCACATTTAGCAGCAGCACATAAACATGAAGTAGTATTTCAACCTTTAACATGTGTGGCACCACAATATGTAACTGGTTCGATTACAATGTCTATGCCATTAAAGGATTGGTAAACACACACGCCTCTTCAATATTGCTTGAAAAACACAGTTAGCAGCTTTAGAAACTGTTGGAAACATTTAGGAGCAAACATTCTTTTCAAGAGACTTAGGTGTTTTCACACTTCTACTTTTGTCCAGACCAAGAGGAAAAACTAATAGTTTGTTGCAATTGTCTGCAGATTTAGTTCTCATTCACTCACACACACACACACCCTGTGGCATCATATGAGCCAATCATTAGTCACATACATCATTGATAGTGCTTCCACGACTGCTTTTTGATTGGTTAGAATGAAAACTATGACAACACCCTCAAAATTGACTTCACTGCTTGATTATGACCCCTGTCATGTGTTAATCGCTTACAATTATAATGATAAATGCTGCTTTATAAACACCCATAATGACACAAGTAAGCGAGTACAGTGGCTATATTCATTCAAAACTAATTTTTGATGTAATCGTTTGTTTTTATTTTAGTTCACGTTCTCTCCACAGTAAACAGATCTATAGTTTTTTGAAGTACAGATTACCACCAGGTCTCAGACTGATTTTTCAAACTGCCTTTGGTCCGATTGAGAGTTCTGCAGTTGCTTTCTCACATGCCTAAACAAACTGTACTAAAATGGAAATGGAACTGTAGTTTGATTGGATCAAACTAAACAATTGAAGTGTTAAAGTACCCTTAAAGTCAGGGACTATTCTGATGATTCAGGTTTGAGGTCAATGGGTTACACAGTTAATCTTTGAGCTGTCACTTACCTTCACACTCATCATCCTCCGGGTTAAAATTGATAGCAAAATCATGAGACACCTGTGATGAAAAAAACACACACTGTGAGTCTTTATCTTAGATTGTGATTTAAAAAAAAAAAACTGGCATATTTTATGACCGAATGATAAGTTCTTTTCTTGATTTATATCAGCCACCTTTTCATCATTTTGTCTTTCAAAACCTCTCTCCATTTATGAATATTTATATTGTTCCTTTTTATTTTGGTTCTGTGTTCACCCTGCTGTTTATCATCTCTACACATGCTGTAAAAAGAATGGGGATATTTCATAGAGCAAGTACTTCACTGCTAAACGTATTTACTCTTCTGGCTGTAGACACATGCACTTTACTCAGCATAGGGTTTAATATGAGTTTGCTCCACCCTTTACTGCTATTACAATCCTTTCAAAATGGTTTTCCACAAAAGTAAAGAGCTTGTTTCTGAACATTTCAGAGACTAAAAGAAGACCCGTTTTGCCCAGTGGTTTCATTCCAAAGTTCGGGGTTTTCTCACCCATGTTGTTATGGAACCTGCTTTGGGCACAGTCAGGTTGGTACAGAAATTGGATATTCATTAATTATCCCTAAAGTCAAGGATTGTTCAAAACCATGGCATTGTCTTAAATCTCTTGGTATGCTTAAACATTCAGAGTTCATTTCACCATAAAAAGAGGGTCAGCTCCTGGAAAACAACCCCACATCACAATCTTCGTAGCTAGCACAATATTCCGATCTGAGAGTAAAGAAGGTGGGTTTGATGATTGGCATCACCTTACGTCTAACACTCAGCCATCAGGTGATACTAAACATCGTCAAGATAATCTTTAGGAGTTCCATAGAGTTTGATGAACTCGGGAAGCCTGTGAGCACAGATGCAAGCCTGTGAGCACTGAAAGCCCCTATGCCACCAGACAAGCCGGGCACAGCCTGAGACAGCAATGTGTGATCTACACTGTATTGATAGGAAATACAGACCGCTCAGGATTACATGCACCACATCTCTGGCCAGTGACCTCCTCCTCCATACTCGGCCATGTGTGGGCCATGAAAGGTGATGCAAGGCCAGAATCAATGCAGCCGAGCTCTGTTTTAAATGTCTGTTTTTAATAACCACCCCCATTTGGGTACTTTATTTATGTAATATCATAAATGCACTTAGATCAGCCTACTATCACAAGTGTATTTGGCAAGCATTTGGGTGCCTATGTATGTCCAGGAACCTGAAATCTCCAATTTTTGAGTGAGGGGAGGAAGGTGGGCTATGCTGGAACAAATGTCAATGAGTCTCTGGTTTAGTTGGCTTTTATAGGGGGCAGTTATGAGCTGAAGTGGAGCCACCCGAGTAGTCTTGATAAGCTCCCTCTTTTATATACATGGCATCTGATGTGTATGTTGAACGCATTCTGTCATTTCTTGTTGATGTCATAATAATTTAAGGGACACAACCTTTCTAGATTAATTTGGTTGAACTTTCTGCTATAACGTGGATGTAATTCAATTACTATACATTGCTTTTATGCTACATACTTATATAAATATCACATCGTGAGCTCCTGCCACAGATTGATTTTTCTTTCTGACAAAGACACCCTGAATGTAACTAGGAATATGATAATTCTTTTGAAAGGAATCAGAGCTTGACGTTAGCGCAGTTCAATCTTCCTGAACAAACAGACCATATAATGAAATCCTCTGACAGTTTATTGTCAACACCACAGAAGTCATTGCAAGCTGTTATTATTTGAGTATCTTGGAAATAGCATTTTTTATGTAAAGGTTAGCATTGCATGGAAGAATGTATACAAATACAAAGAAAAGAGGTTCATGCACATACTGGGTTCCATGGGCAGCAGTGTGACGCATTATATATCAATAGATAGATTGTAATTATGTGAAATTACAAACTTGAATCTGTTTAAAAGGATTGCTGATGAAATCATAACAGTTAACAATATGTGTACGTATTAATATGCCTTTTTTATTCTTTCATAATATCTAAAAAAAAAAACTATTTGAACATAAATCCCTCTTTCTAGTCTGATTTGTCAATTTGTTTGTTAAATTTACACTTATTGTCAATGAACATAATTATAAATGTATAATTTCAAACAATTTCCTTACTTTGCTCATTCTGAACTCCAGACACACAAATAACACCAAAGAACTGACAAGAGTTAAGAATGCAATGGCTGACCAAATGCTTAAAGAGTCCAAATCCTGACTCAATAACTGATAAAGAATGACTGAAACGCTGGAATACTGTCTGAAGGAAAACAAACTTTCTCATCATTAAAAAAAAAAAAACTTGTGAATAAAATTAAGCTTGAATTGTGCTTGAATATATATATTTTTTGTATCGTTTTGTATTAAAGGTCCAATAATCCAGGCAGGTCATTGGATGCTTTTTAAAGCAATCAGGTGAATATCTTATCAGACAATGTCGGGTATTTGTTTTCGACACTACTGTTCATTATTTTCTATCTGCTGGTCTGTTTTCAGAAATATAACCTCTTGTAGGAGTGTCATACAAAATGGAATAAATATGGTTATACATCTAGTACCGTCTTTTTTCTGTCTGCAAATTAAAGCAATGTTGGTGACAGTGACAGACCCTTGTACAGCTATATGCCAAGCAACATCCCTTCATTCACCACAAGTAAATGGCATTAGCACACATAATATTTTAATGGTGTTCATACGAAATGCATTTTACCTCATAATTAGGAGGAATTCTTGCTCCAAACCCCAAAGCAGAGAATCGCTTGTCACTGTGATGAGATGAAAAATACATCAGTAAATGAAACCACATAGTTTCCACATATTTTGACATTCCAAAATATCACACATTTAAAACTTA